TTTATAAGCTTGAACACTTGTACACTGTCTTAACTTGTTGTCGACCTATGTCACAAATGAAGTTTAAACCTCTCTAACAATCTAGGACTAATGTAAAATCAAATCAACTTACCTGCACAAAGTAACCGCTGTATTTAACACACTGACTAATTGAATTTACTGTATTCTTCAAAAACTCTACCTACTATCTCCTTGACAACCTTTCAGTTCAGTCTACTCTTGATGTTACTATCTCGTATTTATAATCTTGCTTCGAATGAACATTTGACCTTTAGAACTTTCTAGGCCTATTTTAACGTCATAACTTACGACCTTCAACTTTCTCTAGCTAATAAACAAATTATAGAATTAACAATATAGGTTACAACACTTTTAAGGAACTGTTGTTTAGTATTATACGTAAACTAGCTTCATGTATGTCGAGATGTTTCTTGAAAAAAGGTAATTTTTGTGATTTGAAACTGTGACTATTAAGTTTTTGTTAAGTTTTCAATGGACAAAACCTTGATTTTAGGTTCGGTTTCAGTTTATATAAACAGTTTAATAGCTTGATAAAACTTCTTCATTCAATACGTTTCACTTTTGTTTGCCCATCATAATTATGCATGCGTTATAAGATTGACGGTCAAATTAAAGAGTAGACCAGGAGTTAGTTGTGGGCCATTGTTCTAGTTCAGTGTTTCTCAACCACTGGAGCTTCGAATGGCGCCGGTCCGACACAAGAACCTTTAATTTAAATAAATATCTATTAATCAAGGTAAACATTATCTATTAGTTATAAATACTAAAATAGTTTAGTTTAATAAGCTCAGCAAATGTGAAATAACTGTGTTTTTTATCTTATGCCAAAGTAAGTCCTAGGACGAGAAATTATATAAAGATTGAAATATGTGAGCTGAGTCTTTATCTGTGGCATTGAAAAAGTATGATAATTTCATTGATGTTTTTAATTCTAACATGAACTGTCAAGGTCAACAATATATAGTTAGCTGTACAGCGTAATTCTTTGTAAACAAATGTTAAGTTATTAATATATCAACGTTTTTATTACATTATCTCCACTTAATGTTTTCATATAAAAGCGAAATGATAGAATATCATCAACTCCAAAAAAACTAGAGAACTTTTCTTATTTTATTCTTGAGTAAGAAAAAAGGTGAAAAACCTTTGTAGTACAGTAAACAAAAACGTTTTTTTTTTCATAATCAGTTATATAGTGACATATAACTTGGCAATCGAATTCAAGACTATTCTATAGAATTATAATATATGCACCCACTGCTAATAAACGAGAAGCAGATTTTAATGTTTCTTTGGAATTAAGCACAAAACTACACAACAGGCTATCTGTGCTCTGTCCGCCATGGATATCGAAACCCGGTTTCTAGTTTTGTAAGTCCGGAAACATACCGCTGTGCCACTGGGGTGGGGGCAGGTATTAATAGACAGTTCCTTAATGTAAAAAGAAATATCAAAATAGTATTAAATCGAAATTACTTATCGCCATCCGTAGGTCTGAAGTCTGAATATGAAACATACAGGAAGGGAAAACCTGAATTGTCAAACGTTTTTATCTACGTTTCTTTACACAGTGTTACTTTATTTTAGTTTTACTCATACGATATTTGCTATTTACAAAAATATACATTATTATTTATTCCTGCGCTTGTAACGGGCAACAAATAAACCAATGAACCGTGTTCAGGACTTTTCCACACATACAAATATGTGCCTTGTAACACCCGTTATTTTACTTTTCGATTACAAAGCAACAAATCTGTCTTTAAGCTCAAGTTGATGATAAAGTAAGTCTTATTAGTGTTCGTCGATCAACAATGTGCTCGTGTTCCGTAAAATGTGATTTTTTTCTTTCTTATTTAATAACAAAAAATGGTTATTGGTGTATTTTACAATAGAGTGTTTATTGCTCGGTATATGGTAACCTTTTACTTCATCGTCTAACGCTTGTTTACGAACATCTTTATATAAGGTGTGAGAGCAACATCAAAAATGAGGGATATTATATTTCTTTCTTGATAAATTGAATGGTCACTTTTAACTAGAGGTTTTACTTTCGTGCGCAATTGACCTTGTATGTGCATATGTAAATTTCACCGTGTAAAAATTCTCTAAATTATATAAAGCTTAAGATTCTTATGATTATAATGTAACGGTATATGAAGTTTCGAAATGTAAATTACATACAAAAAGTTTATCTGCTTAAGCACAAAAAAACGTAAATTTGAAAATTTAAGCCTTTTTGGAAATGCAAATATCAATTTCTATTTAGTAATGAACAGGCACTTTTTCTTGATTGAAGGTTTTTATTTATTTATTATTGGATTTTAATGCTCTAAAACTTATATTTGCTAAAGTACATTTAAACCATTGAAACTGAATTGCATCTATGTTAAAGGATTGTGTGATCTGTCGTGTCAGTGTTGCTTAAGTGTTTCAAAGAAGCAAATGTATCTTATACCAGTTTCACGACAAATGCGCGATTTTCTTTTGGGGGGGGGGATCATCGAAGTTTAAAATTTTAAATTGTTGATGGTCTGAAGGGGAAGAAGAGAGAAAATATGTGTTACATAAAATATACTTAGTGTTCCACATCTCCTTTATATTAATAAGGTAAGAATTTTACGTTAACCTAGAAATTTAAAAATTTCTTCTGCACATAATTTTCTTGCTGTGTGTTTATTTTTAACGATAGAAGTTTGGCCAAGAAATGTGGTTAAGCTCATTCTTTTCTATCTATCTATTTATTATAGGCCATTCCCCTTTGGTGTCACATTCGCTTTCTTGTAGGAAAGATTGCTGTAAACCATAACATACAAAGTGAAGAGAACAGTGATCTTTCGTCCATTGGTGGGTCAGGTGATACCTTGAGGATGTGTTCTCCTCATTTGTCTTTTGTAATGACCAACATTTGAAGCGGGTAGTTCATATACGTTGGTATTGAAGAATCTTGTATATAATACAATAGTCTCTTAATCTGGAACAAACCAATTTTACAGACATGGGGATCTCCAGTATAAGCACTATCCAATGTACTCGTTTGTTTTTAATTGTTTTTGTTGATAATAAAAATTACTTTTCATTTTCTTTACATCATGTTCAGTCTCTTTCTTGCTTCAAAGTCCGTCAGAGTTAGGGGAATTCAGTTTAACTCTCTAGTACACTTCATGATAACCCTATTTCACAAAGAGTAAAATTAACTTTGGCGGGACAGATAGTGTATGGGTGTTTACATGAGGTCAGTAAGGAATGGAGATGAGTGGTTAATTACTTTGTTAGCGTTTAGAATGTAAATCCTAATGTTCTTTGTTTTGCTGGATCATACATCGCCTAGTGATTAGCCTACTGAGATAGGGAGCAGAAAACCCAAGGTTCAGCTCAGCACTTTCAGACATGGGTGTGTTATAAATGGATAGTTAATCCTTTTATTCGGATCAAGGCCAAACAAAGCCTTTGCGGTGGCGGATACTGTTGACTGGGTGTTTTTTCTATAGTTAGTAGTTCAAAATTAATGAGGGCCATACTTGAACTTTAGGGGGTCTCTGACATGCTCATTGACCCTGTAGGACACATAAGGTGCGTTCAGGTTCGCAAAATCCAAAACTTCCTTTCAATATTAGCATTTATTGAACTGCACATCTTAGACTTCATTATGTTGTTATAGGGGTGTGTGGCCATTTTAGGGACTGGAATGCTAGCTTCAAGAGATTAGTTTGGTGTCGTTTTTAACGTTAAAGAATTTGTATCGTAGCCATTCAAACATAAGACTTGTATTTCACTGAAAACAAGTTTTGTTATTTTTAACACAACCTTTTATACGTGTCCCCTGGTTATATTTGTCCATCATTTATCCGCATCTTCTTTTTTGCTTTTGTACTAGTATTAGGTGGTAAATATGTATATATTGAAAGCAAATGAGTATTACGGTCTATAGGAATACAATAACGTGTTTTTATTGGGTCTCAGATCTGAGCAATACAAGTATAATATTTGACCATATAATATTTAACAGATACATAAACTAATTATTACTACATAGTTGTTAAACGTGTAATTACCTCACTTTCTGATACTACATGTCTTCCTCGGGTTAAGAGTTCTTGCTTGTAGTATAAAGATTTCACTAAATAATTTTCTTTGTTTGTTTGTAATAGAGAAAAATCATATTGGGCTATCTGCTGTGTCCATCTCACATAAATTCAACCCCGGATTTTAGCGTTGCAAGTCCGTAAACTTACCGATGTCCCATCAGGGGACTCACTAACTAATATATTTGTCCAAAATATGTCCATCGAAACTAATTATTTCATTATTTGAAGAAAATGGATTTAGAAATGTCAATATATCTACATAAACCTGCCTGTTCTTGTGTATGTAAAAATGTTGAGGTTCAAATAGCTGTTAGCATTTATCGACCGGTACAGTGTGAGGACTCGTTTACACGACATATCAGGAAAGCTGTTTTGATTGCTTATTAATTACGTTGCTATTATAACTTGGTTTCCTGTATTTCATTTTTTAATGTTTATTCATTACGAAAATGTCAAATTGATACAGAGCAGGAATTTTGTAACTCTTGTGACAGTTCAGTTTTCCTTGCTAAGATTTTATATTTTAACTAAACTAATCAATTGACGATAATTATTTTTAGTTCTTATTATTCTACTTGGAGTATAGCTGACATTTCATACTGGACAAAGATTATGGCAATCTTTAACAAACTCTCAAACAAGTCCCCCGGTAGCCCAGCGGTAAGTCTATGGGTTTACAACTCTCAAACAAGTCCCCCGGTAGGACAGCGGTAAGTCTATGGGTTTACAAACTCTCAAACAAAATTCAAATAGATAGATAGATAGAAATTGTAATGAAAAAGTTATTGTTTAACGATCAGATACTTATACTACTAACATATTTAATTTAATTTTTACTTTACAGAAAACAAAACCAATTTGTTTGTTGTTGTTTTCACAAAGAAACTTACATGAAAATAAATCCCGATTTATTGAAATACATGCTTTTATGAGCACAAATCTCAAGTATAGTAAATTCAAAAACATTAATTTTGTTTTATTTTTCGTGGATTGAGGCAAAATGAAGCTGGTTTATGCCTGAACAACGACTGAATCTTCTTTTAAACACTGGGAGGTGCTACTTTTGTTTGCAGGATGTTCGTTTGGAGTACTGCTGAAACTCGGTCTTCGCGGTCGACGACACATCAGAACTGTTTTGTAAGCCTGTCGATACTGTTTGTTGGTAACACCGTAGATAATGGGGTTGATGGAGGCACTTGCATATATGAGGATGTAGACCAAGATGTGTAAAACGGGGTATTTATTCTGCTTGTCTATCACCTGTATTTAACAAACAAAAAAACACTTCAGTACATGCAGCAAAGTTGTGGGAATCGGATATCAATCGTTTTTGTGGTTAGCAGCCTATATAATTATCTAAATTTAACCACCAATAAGTTACTTCTATTTTATTATGCACTAATTACCAAATAGTTTATTTTCTACGTGTCGGCTGCAGTCTTCAGAGGAGTCCTGTGAAATCCTAGATGTGGTCCAGGATCGAACTGCATCTCCTGCACACCACCACACACTCTTTCTCAGGGCTCTCTTCACAACAGCAGCCGAAACGCGAAGGATATACTAATTAGTAATTGGTATCTAAATTGTAAAAATACTAAATAATTAGATTTAGGTGATCGTATAGACTACTGACCACGAAAACGAAAAATATATTTATTATCTACAAATGGAAAGCTGTCTCAATCCAATTACATGTGATAAACAGACTCTAAAAGTAATTATAGTTAGTATATTCGTTGTTTTTTATTGTAATTTTGTGAATAAAATGTGTAAATTCCCCTCAATATACACTACGCATTTTGAAAGACAACAAACTGATATAAAACTTACTGTGCTCTTTGTGTAACTGTCTATACTATTTTATTTATCATATGGTGCCAGTTTTTATTTATTCAATTGGCTGCTTAGCGAAAACCTGAAACTTTGTATTTTTCGCCTCTCATGAGTTTTAGGAGTGTTGTTAAGTATATTAAGAACTTATATTCTTGTTAATAGTATTCTTCCAAGCTTAGCTCTACAGTAAAAAGTAATCTAAATGTCTAAATATTGTATTAATATGTTCTAATGATCCGCACACACAAAAGTTATCAACACTTATCAATACTCCGAAAGATTTGATGCGAAACCCCAAAATATTTACTCTCAGCAAAATTTAACCCCAGAAAGATTTGCTTTCGCGTAAGGAAATCTCTAAAGATTTAATCTCGCCCAAAGAAAATTAATGAAAGATTGGGTGTTGCCCAAGAAAAAACCTTCGAATATTTGCTCTAGTCTATATATCACTTCGTAATTCGTAAATCTTTTTTAACTAGTAATTATTTTGCCTTACTCCTTTTAGTAAGATTTCAATCATAAAAATACAAACATTTATGGACATTTAACGTTTACCTGATATACCTTATATTTGTTTTTATCATTTTTTCGCGCAAAGCTAGCTACACAAATAACTGCCTGATAGACAAGAGGGAAGGTAGCTAGTCAACATGCCAATTCTTGGGCTACTTTTGCATCTCCAAATGGTGAAATTTGACCATCACTCTTATTTTTCCCACAAGCCCAAAATGCATAACACGATTTTGCGGCAACGACATGTAAACCACTAGGATACTCTGTGGAACAGTTTGAGTTTATGTCGATCTATAACGAACAAATGTTATTAAAATGTATTAACATCTAATAATCTCTATATTCAGTAGCAAAGCTAAGAGTTAGAAAAAAACACACAAAAACTTACTTTAACAATGGTATTAGGAAGGTAACAAATCAAGAAACAACAAAAGATGATTAGGACCATTCTCGTCACACGCCATTCTTCTTCTCGTCGCTTCGAATCCCTGGCACTTTTCTTCTCCTTGGTCTCCACAGTCTTGTACATCTTTATACGACTTGAGCTCTTCTTCACCACACAAAAGATACGAGCGTAACAAACCACAATAGTTATGCAGGGGATAACAAATCCAAAGATAAAAAGGAATGCCTTAGATGATCGACCGTCAACCTCTAAAATAGTGCATGTCAAGATATTTTTGTCGTAACCAAAGCGCCCCCAGGCGCCAATTAATGTAGGTAAGAGCATGATGAAAGCAAACAAACAAATTCCAACAATCATCATTGCAATGTTACGCTTTTGGTAAATCTTCTCATATAGACCTTGATGGGCAATAAGAACGTAACGGTTTATGGCAATTGCGGTGACAAACAACAGAGACAAACCACCATTAAGATACTGTGTAAATGGATAAAAGACACACAAGGCATCACCGTAAATCCATTTTTGAAGAATATAGTCTGAAGCACTGAAAGGAAAGCTAACAGCATTGTACAGGAAGTCAGAAATACTTAGACTAACAATAAAGACAGCAGTAGCACTGCGAACACGTGGACACTTCACCAGAGCAACGGTAGTCAGCAAGTTACCACACATGCCAACAATGCTCAAAACAATAACGCAAAGCGTGGCGAAATGCAAGACAGCCTTACGTTTCAGCATGGGACTCATAAATGTGTCTGAAACATAATGGGCTTCAGTATCGTTTTCTGTTGTAAAATTCAGCGACAGAAACTCAGTGGTCGTCATTGCTATAATTGTATATTAAAATCCACACAGAATAAAAAGTGTACACTCTTCAAGTAGAAGATGAGGTAAACATCAGGTTAAAATTGGCGAATTGATATTGAAGCGATCAGTCTATAAAGCCTTGGTTTTACAGCAGGTTTGCGTAGTTTTTGAATGTCGTAGTCCAGTAACAAATACATACTTTTAGTCCACAAAGAAGATACATTTCATTCAAATCTCCTGAAACAACAAAAACAAAACGTAGTAATTATAGCGAGATTTATAATTAAATATAATTAAAAATAGCTTGAATGTTAAATTTCATTGTTTTTAGTTAGTTGTTTGATGTCTTTGCTTAACTAAAGTTAGTTAATGAATATTTGAAGTTTTAAGGAGACTTAAAAAGATACCATAACGTACCCACTAGTTAAATATATTTAAAGATATGTTATGTTTTAAAACTATTTTGTTCCAATATTTGTTAATCGTTTTTGCATTTATTTAAACATGGTTATTCATTTGAAAACTCAAATCATTTCAGAGCACTCGCTTTCCTTAGCTTTTCATAAATACATAGGCTCTGCAATATTATCGACAAGTATTTGGAAACTATGCTCTTATATTTCATTAAACTACATTCTTCTTCTTTTGTTAAAGTAAATTTTGTTAATAGTTTCTCAATGATCAGTTTGTGATTGCAGCCAGAAATAGTGTAAAAAGTGAAGTACAATTCACAAGCCCACTTCCAGGGATGCAAGAAAGAAGTTCTCGGAAGACTTCTAAGATAAAGATACAGTATTAATCAATTAAATTTCTGACGATTAATAACAGTTTAGCTGGAGAGTGGTATTTACTTCATTGCTCCGTTCACTTAACCAGCTGTATAAAAACTCGTAACTCTTAACAGTGTAGTTACTGACTATAAGAAACCTTCCAATTTCTGGTGTAGTTAGAAAGCTGTTAAAAATTGTACTCTGGTTCTAATTCACTATAAGGAACTTTCTGATTACTGAGTTATGGACTTCTTCAAATGTATACTTGGGATTTAATCAATTATAAGAAACCTTCTTGGGGGTGTAGCTATGTACATGTTCAAAAGTACACTGTATTCCCAGACCTATTCAAATGTATACCAGGGACCTGTTTCGCAATAAGAAACATTCTAACTACTAAGATTGTAGTTTTGGACCTGTTCAAAAGTATGCTGGGTATCTAATCCATTATAAGATTGTATACTTACGGTGTGTCTCAAATCTATAATCAGGATCTTCGTAAGTAACCTAATGATTCCTAGAAGTATAGCCGAGTCGTTCAAATCCCATTTATTGTCTGTATTTCTAAGTGATTAATTGAAGTATTATAATTTAGCTTCAAATCAACTTACCTCTGTCATCAGCTTCTTCTCCACTACTGTCTTCTGAGGTCGAGAATATTATGCTTTGTATTATTTACAATTGTTTGATTTTTCCCTCGTCCTTTTAATTAAATCCTAATAAATATTTCGGAATATATGATTATTCATTAAGCATTTTTAACTTTACCCCTAATATATTTTACAGCATTCTAGATATCTGCCAGGAATTATTTAACCATTAGTACACTTAGAGGATTAAAAAATGTGTCTGTCTCTGTCAAACAGATATTCTATCATTTGCGTTCTTTTATGATTGCTTTGTCTAGTTACTGAGTCACACTAAACTATGTGTCTTCGACTTTCAGTTTCCTATTTCTCCAGTACAAGATAAGCGTATCTACTCTCTTCCTGTTCGTATGTTTTGCCGTTTGCCTTGGCAACGCTTAGACTTCCTTCCTCTGTGTCTAAAGAAGACAAATGTTTCAATGTTTATCTTCTGTACACCATACTTCTTAGACTCGCTGAAAGTTACTAAAGATTTAGAAAAGCGTTACTTTCAGTCCTAGTTTTCTTTTATTATTTCTATAAATTTATATATATATATATATATAGGTCTTATAATAAAATTATAAATAAGGTTTGAACTGTTTTTGTTTTTTTTGTTGTTGTTTTGTTTTTGGTCAAGCGATCCATGCAGCTGTTATGACAAAGAAAAAAAAAGCGTTTACTTTCGTAAGATTCCAAAATATTTGTTTTCAGAGTATTATTGTACACTACAGCTATATATTTATACATATTTTACGCTTTGGTCTTTATGTTTAGTTATTAGATCTTTTCTGAGATTTGCTCGGAGTTTATGAATTCATATATCATCCGCTACGAACAGGCAGCAACATTTTTAGAATGATGAAAACAAAAGGTGAAATTATTCAGCATCATTGAAACTATTCGTTATTGTTACAGATTCAACAGAGTGTTCTGTATTATTGTTTATGATGCAAAAATAACTTAAAAATTGAATTAGATTCAACGAAATCCTAAAGAGTATTGTTGCGTCATCGAGGTCACGTGACTGGTGTGGCGTCCACTTATTTTCTAGAACTATCCTGTACCTTGGCGAATGCTCTAGTATTCACTAGATATAGGGTAGTCTGGTATATAAAAGAGGGTGACAACGTGACGGAATAATAATAAGGTGTGTGTAGATAGTGAGTAATTGAACTGCAGTC